AGGGATTTTCAAACGTAGCTATTTCGATTTGATGCAGTGATTAAGATGAAAAGAAATGGCACAATAAGTAGAATAAATTCACAGATTCTCAATGTGTACTCTCAATCGTTTCCTTCTCATTTCTAGCCATGTTTCTATGGAATTTCTCAAAATAACTACGTCAAAACAATTCTTGAAGTAATGTTAGATTTTTAACATTAATTTAACGTTGAAAAACTGAAGGAAACTTTTGTTCCGATCCCACACTCCACCTAGAAAAAGTCCGATCCGACAAGTAAATCCGGGTTGGGAATTTCCACAATTTTCGAATTTGAGGTTAAGACTACCAAATTCTAAAAGATCAAGCGAAATACGTTTAAATGGTGCCTTTTGTTTTGTGGTTTTCCCATAAATGTAATAGTTTTACGAGCATCAAAAGTATCAATCCGCAAGCCACTATAGTCACCATTACTGACACCTTCTTTCCAACCCCAAGGGATTGAATACCACGATTGTCAGTTTTGGCAGCAAAAAAACTGCTGCTCACTACAGAAAAAAAACATGCACTACTATTGGATGAATTTATGGAAAATAAGAATCGCAATGTCTATAAATGACGGGTCAAGGCATTCCTGCATTAATAGTACGAACTGGAATGACTCCTTCGAATAAGATTATGAGATCTTGTGTGTTACTTATTGTAGTCAGTGGAGCCATTCGTTATTAATAGGTACAGTGGAACCCCTTTAATAGGACACCGTTGGGACGGACAAAACTGTCCTTATTAACGGGGTGTCCCTATTAACCGAGGTGTCAGAAAAACAGCTGAAAACACATTTTTAACCATTTATTTTTACTGTACTGTAAAGCTTGAACTACAGTGTTCAATATAACAGCCTTAAACTAGAACAAAAAGTGCATTACTGTACAAGAACTACATTTGCATTTACTGCACTGTATTGTACAATTTCATTTTGAGTTGAGTTCTGGAAAATAACAATGCAATGGTATTGCGAGCTTTGTCTATATTCCATTATGCTGATCATTATATAAATAAACAAATACAGTAAAGACGTCTTCAAATTTCAAGTGTCCTTAATGCGGGGTTGATTTTGTATGGAAACTGTCATTCAGGTCCTAGAAATGTGTCCTTTGTACTTATTAATGGGTGTCCTTATAAAGCGGGTTAATT